CACACACACACACACACACACACACACACACACACACACACACACACACACATCGCTTAGCACTAGCTCACCGCTATACGAAGATCGGCATGATATACACGCGAGTCCGCAGCATGCATCATCACAGATGAAACACTGTCAACTCATTACTCTAACTCCGTGTCAAGAAGAGAGCCTGCACGCGGCGACACAAGCAGCCCTCACTCGTCTCCCACCGACGCCACGCCAAAATTGGTTACTGTCGGTGAATCAAGATAAAGATCAAAATCACCTGACGACATACTACTATCGCATATATCCTCTAGTATCGCTGATAGGGTCTATGTCCCCCAGGGTCTCATTATCCCACCGTACCCTAACTATCAGCCAACTGATGACGTAATACATACACTATGTCAAGTTACCAAATCACATAGAAGAAACCTCAAAACATCGAAATCCAATAAAAATGTATGCTATGTTTGACTATATTTTCTTTTTCCTTTTTTTTAAACGAAGAGCTAGCTTTGCGAAAACGAAGGGCTGAAAGTCAGGGTACGGTCTGAAAATGCAGGGTACGCATCGACATATCGTATAGTACCCCGAGGTACTTTCCGATATATCGAACCGTACCCAGGGTACCCTCCGATCGTGCCCTGGGGGACATAGACCCTATCAGCTCTAGTATCACATACACCCTTACTTGCTATAACGTCTGTGTGAATAAAGCGTCATATAGCTGCACGATTCTGTTTGGTGCTGATGTCCTCGTAAAAGCAACCACACACAAAAACTGACAACGAAGACGGCAATGGCGAAAATGTGACACATTCGTAATCCAAATAACAAAATCAGAGCTATGCATTGGCCATGACCTCTCGCACGCACGCGTACTATACGAATACTGTGGACAGAGGGCGCGAACTGTCAAAAACAAAATCAATCTTAACAATATTCTTGTTCTCGGACTGAATTATTCTGAATTTATTAGATTGTCGACGGAAGCATCGTAAAGTTCTACGAGAAAAAAATCTACGAGTAAAAAAAAATCTACGAGAAAAATCTACGAGAAAAAATATTTGTGGAAATGTTAATGGAAAGACGTGAATTTTGTTCCAGACAATGCGTCCTTGGCCCCCCCACGCACGTGCGAGTACCAGCCCAGGTGTTACTCAGTGCGGGTCAATGTGTCATACTTGTGTTTGGTGCACGCAATATCAGAAATATCTTCACGGCCGACCTTGGAATGGAAGCACTCGCGGAGCGTGATCACGTGATTGAATTCATTCGTGAAATGCATTTGTTTTAAATGCAAGTAGTGGCAACGCGTGTATGAACATGAAATTAGGATGTAGTGACTGTGTTTTAGATATCAATAATCATGTATACATCTGTATAGTATATGCCATCTATGGATGCAGTGTGTCGTTGTAAGATGGTAATAACGATGACGATGATGATGACGATGATGATATGATGATGATACGATGATGGTAATAACGATGACGATGATGATGACGATGATGATGATGACGATGACTATGACGATGGTAATGACGACAATAACGACAATGCCGACGAAGATGACGATTAGAACAACAATGACGATGATGACCGCGACCATAACGATGACGGTGACGATGACGATGACAATGACAACAACGATGACGATGATGACCGCGACCATAACGATGACGGTGACGATGACGATGACGATGACAACGACGATGACGATGATGACCGCGATCATAACGATGACGGCGACGATGACGATGACAACGACGATGACGAGAAACGTAGTAGATAATAGTGATTCTCTAGCTCGCCACGCATACACAAAATATGCTTACAAGCTCTTTCGGA